CCAGCAGGTGGCGTGGTGGTTAAGGCGCTGGATTCCCACATGGCCGACTGTGGTTCAAGTCCTGGACCTGATGGCTTGTTTTCTCACTTTCTCTCTGTCTTTGTCTTTCTCTGGTCAAATTACCAAATAACAACAACAAAATTAAATACATAAATAATTCTTTGGAAAAAAGAAAGAGGGAAAGAATATCATCACCACCAACATCAAAATACTAGCAGCTGCTACCGCTTGCTTAATGCTTACGAGGTGCTTGGCAAGCATTGACGTTTAAACAGCTGATAGCCACACCAGAGGTGATATGTTTACCAGACGGGAAGACTGAAGCTCAGAAAGGGTAAGCTACATGCCTAAGGCCACACAGCTCATAAGTGGAGGAGTTGCAATTTGAGTTCCACTGTCCCTAATCTGTGTGGCCGCCTCCATTCTGCAGTCGTCTCAGTAAAGATGCTCCAAAACACCTTGGAATGCATAGGTGAGACCTCAGCGAGTTTCAATGGACAATCCAGAGGCTGTCAGACACTAGAAGAGGTCATCGGGATAATTCTAATGTCCCTTCCCCACACAGCAGATAGCCCTTAGGTGGGGGTTGATTTAGGAGCAGCTGCAGTTTGTTCTGGAAGCAGGAGGGTGGCCTAGTGACCTTCCCAGCCTCAGCCCCCTCAGCTCAGCTTGTGATTCTAGGATTCTGTTTCCCATTTGGGGACGGAAATTCAGGCTCCTGGGTCACAATGGGAGTGCTCAGATTTCCCCAGTGAGCACCCCTTTTGAAAAGTTAGCTATTGTTTTCTGAATTTCTTAAAAAAATTGGAGAGATGCTGAGATTAGCAAAGCAAGCCTCTTAGGACAATAAGCTTGATGGGGTGCCCCCATGTTTCTTTAAAAAAGATATTAAAAAATCCTTGCAAACATGCAACAAAATGCTTGCTCACTTCTGAAGTTAGAAGTGCCTGATTGGATTTTTAAAAATGTTTCCTGTTCCAATAGAGTGTATTGTAAACAGACACGGGGTCCTGGAGACACTATTGGCTGTACTCTAAGAATGGCCTTCCTTTGGAGATAGGGCCAGCAGTTGACAAGCGAACCAGCTGTCCTACTCGACCTCGGGACTGGGAGAGGCATGTTCAGAGGAGTCACCATTTGCTCCAGTCCTGTTTCCCCACAGTTAACAAACTCTGATATCCCCTCAACATGGGCAGGGGAGTCAGGGCAGAGCTTTAGGGAGTGCTGTAGCTCAGAGAGCTCAAGGACAATCTAATGTACCCCTCATCAAGATGAGAAGACTGAGGCGCAAGGATGCAGCTTCTCAAGGTCCCCTGTCTGGTTAGAGGTAGGAATGAGCCCAGGACTTAGGTGACTGAAGAACTTCTGGAAGACAATCTCTGCCCCCTCATGGTCTATTCTGATCGCACCCTGCCTGTGTTGACACTGGCTAACAAGTATAGCTGACCGTGTCTTCAAGGAGGAGAGCTGTGAGGATGAAAGGAGATGCCGAACATAGGTCACCCAGGCACTGTCACCCAAGGGACCAATAAGCAATAGCTTCTCATAATCACAAGGTGTGCTAACTCTCAAGCACTGCCTAAGGAACTATTTCATGGAAGCAGTTAAAGAATTGAAGTCATCCAACTAGTTACGTACTTTATACAAACACACGTGCAACTGCACATTCACAAAGACGCCAGGAGGCTTTTAGGAAGGCACGTACCTCACTGTTGGCGCTTTCTACAAACGACCCCCCGAACATGGCTGCCATCCACTCACAGCTACAGATCAGCAGCGGCTTGTGGGCACTGATGGCTCCGTCATCCAGCTGAAATGTTACGTCTGCCAAGGGAGTGAGGGAACATAACTGCGAATCAGACTCATGACAGCTTAAACCAAGGCTCTGCTCCTCTTGTATCCAGCAACCTGCGTCACTCTCATTCTCTCCTCCATATCTTTATTATGATTATTTTAAAAGAATTATTTATTGGGACCAGCAGTTAGCATAATGGCTATGTCGCTGGACTCCCACGTAGTTGACCACGGTTCAAGTCCTGGACCCGGCAACTTAAACTCACGCTGGGCGCATGTGCATGCGTGCCCAAGATCCCGAGAGGAGAATGGAGGAGAAGGGATTGCGGTGTGGCCATCCCCCCTGGGGGGTGATTTCTTGCTTTCTCTCTCTCTCTCTCTGTCTTTCTGGCGAGCGCACGCGCCCTATAGCGACAACCTCTCCAAAAAAAAAAAATATTTATTTAATTCCATTTGTTATTGTTATTTTTAAATTTGACCAGACAGAGACAGAGAGAGAGAAAGGAAAAATGAGAAAGCAAGCTGCCAGGACCGGGACTCGAACCATGGTTGGCCATGTGGGAATCCAGAGCCTTTAACCTCCACGCCACCTGCTAGCCCATTTATTACTATTGTTTTTTAAAATCTTCCAGAGGGTGTGTGCACTCCCTGGAGAGAGACAGAGACAGGGAGAGAGGGGAAAGTGAGAAAGTACACCCATGGGGCATAGTCACATTATAGTCCCTTCTCCTCCATGTCTCCCTCCCTTTGGGATCTGGGCACACACACACAAGTGCTGAGCATGTTTTTCAAGATGCCTAGTCTGGGACCTGAATTGCGAGGTTGGCCAAGTGGTATCCAGTTGCTTTAGCCACCAAGCCATGCATGGGCTGGCCCATCTCCAAATCTTTACTGGTTTTATGTCAACCTCCACCTTCGCTAAATCCAATTCCCACATTGAGTAAGCATTTAAAATAACACATAAAGCCCCAACACATATTCTCTGAAGTAAAGAGAAGGAGAAGAATATTTTCCCCTCCTTATTATGAATATTTTAAATACATAGAACAGTGGAAAGAATAGTACAATGTTCACTCATTTGTCCACTGTTAACACAATTTTTCTGTTTTCTTTAGCTGTAGGTGTATTTTTATATATGTGTGTAGACTTTTTTTAAACAGAGTAGGACACATTGTTTCTATCATGAATTTTCTAAAAACAAGAATGTTCTCCCAAATAACCATACCATTGTTACACCTGAGAAAGTGAAAAATAATTTCCTAATGTTCTCTACCCTAGTTTATAATAAAATGTCTCCAATTATCCCTGTATTATATCATTATAGTTCATACTTTTTTTAAAAAACTGAATCCTACTGAAGCTCCCACCCTGTATTTGGTTATTGGTCTTTGCAGTGAGGAGAGGGTGATTTAATTAACATTGCTTAAGGTCCATTTAATTTACTGCGGGTTTGTAAGATTTTCTTTTCATTAACTTTCACAACCCCTCCTGTACCATGATGGTCACTGACTGGAGTAAACATTACTCATAAGCTTTGAGATTATGGACAGACTCAGTAACTACTTACTAAATATGTAGTATCATGGCAGGGATTATGAAAGATAAACACACAAACAGAAGTATCCATATAAACAGAAGGCAAGTAGGCAATAAAAGACACACATACATATACACATATATGCACACCTCACGCACACTCAGGATGATTTCCAAACAAAAAGGGTACACGTGTGTAAGACAGTACGGGTGTGAGTCAGTAGCCCTTAGTGGATGCAGGCCACAGTGTGCTTAAGCGACTACAGAAGGGTGTGGTGGGTGGCATACAGCATAGCAATCAGAGAGACAGGAGGGGCAAGAAAAAATGGATGGCGGGGCCAAGGAGTGAGGACAAGAAAGAGGGGCTAGAAACACACGAGACACCTCTTGCAAGAAAGTAGAGGGCCACCAAAATTGCCTCAAGGACCTCAATGGCCTGAGGAGCAGAGGTCACTGACTTTTGTCCTGGGCAAGAGCTGAAGGGTCAATGGAGACTGGATCTGGGCAAGGAATGGTTCCTGAACATCGAGCTGATGGGAGATAGGCTCAGGGTCCTTGACATATCTTGAGGAGCAATGTGGTCCCATGGTGGTTTTGGGAACATGTTTCTGTAGCCACAAAATCTTAGGTTCAAATCCTGGCTCTACCATTATTACCTGTGTGGCTGTGGGAAAGTTACCTAGTCCCTCTATCCCTTGGTTTCCCCATTTGCAAAATGGAGAGAGTAATCATCTGATCCTTCCAGCCTGATGAGAATCAAGTAAATTAATATCTATAGCTTGGGGCCAGCAGGTGGCATGGTGGTTAAGGCACTGGATTCCCAAATGGCCAACTGTGATTTGAATCCTGGACCCAGCAGTTTGAAAATCACTGCAAATAAATAAATACATAAATGTAAAAAAAATATATATCTACAGCTTAAAATGGTACATGAAGGGGCCAGCAGGTAGCATGGTGGTTAAGATGCTGGATTCCCACATGGCTGACCGTGGTTCAAGTCTTGGACAAGCGCCTTGAAAAATATGTGTGTGTGCCCAAAATTCTAAGAGCAGAACGGAGAAGGGACTGCAGTGTGGCCATCCATCCCCCTGGGGATGGGGTGGGGGTATTCTCACTTTCTCTCTCTCTGTCCCTGTTTCTCTCTGGGTGAACACATGCATCTTGTGGCAAAAAAAAAATTTAAAAATTAAAAAAAAGGATATGAAAAAATAAGCCCTTATAATGTTAGCTATGTTTATGCTTTCCCCTGCTCCTGTTTGATAAAACACAATCACAGGTACCAATGGCTCTGCCCAAGCCCCACTCACCTGAGAACGTCCCCTTGCTGAGGCACTCTTTTATCCGATTGGCTTTCCTGACATGAAAAGCTTTCGTAATCTCCTGGTTCATGAAGGCTTCCTTGTTCATGATGTTTTCTACCATCATCCTCAAATCAAACATCTCTAGGACCTCAGCGATCTGAGCCAGGCCCACCAAATCCTTTTCCTTTTCATCCAGTTGCCCTGTATAAAGAAATCGGAGCAAGGTCCGGAAGGGTCCTGGCTGGACGGAGGAGTCCATCCTGACCACAGTCACGGGGCCCATCCGCTTTGAAATGGGATTGACTTGCATCTCCTTGTGCATGCCAATAAAGCCCTTGCTCCAGCCTGACAGAGTCTGTGCCGCCTCGGGGGCTGAGCCCTCGGCTTCCGGCCCCACGGTTTCCAGCAGGTTCTTGCTTGAGGACTTCCACTGGTCAGCCTGAGGTGTCCTAGGGGAGCCTTCTTCCCTTTCCTCATCTGGATCAAGACTCAACGTCCGTCCCAAGACATCTCTGCTCTGCTTCTCTTTCTCACAAGCGCCTTCCCCCCAGTTTGGGGATTCTTCACATTCCATTAAAAAAAGGTCGTAAAATTTGGAAGAAGAGGTAGCAAGGTAAATTCGATGTGCAAAGATGGGTTCCTGGTCCTGCAGGATGAAAAGGACATCGGCACACAGAGGATTGTCCAGTAAACAGGCAGCTTCGTTCGTCCCCGTGGAAGGACACTCTGGAATTTTGATGACCGGAGGAGGGGCTTTTGGAGGTAGGCAGGGTGCCTGAAGTAAAGGTTTCTGAACTTTCTTTAAGTGTGATTTCCAGAACTGCAGGTGCCGGCGGGAAATCAGAGCTGCTCGGATCGCATTGTCAAACACGTCCTTGATTCCAAACTGATCGAACACGCTTGTCTCGTAGTACGGTATGCCGAGCTCCTTCGCCACCTCTCGGCCTTTCTCTGGGGGCAAAATATCTCCTCTCTTTATGGGCCTGAAATAGAACATTGTACAAGTTACAGTCGGCCTTATTTTAGGG